ATGCGCTCCAGTCACAAAGGTTCAAGGTCAGGAGCGCGGGGCCGCCGCGCCCCGCCCGGCCCAGGCGCTATTCTTCGTCCCGGCGGCGGGAACTCCTCGCCGCCCGAGCCCGGGCCGCCCCTGCGCGTGAATGGCCGAGGCCGCCGCCGTCTGAGGCGCTTTGTGTCTCGGCCCGGCCAGCTGGGCCCGCGAGGGACGTGCCAGCTCGGCCGGCGGCGCCCCCCGCGCCAGCGCCCCTCGCCCATGCTAATCAGCCTGGCAGCGCGTCTGGGCGGGAGGCCCGGCCGTGAGCCCCCCACGTTCCCTGCCAGGGCCCCTGCTGCCGCGAGGCCCCGCGTCCCCCGCCGGGGCTCCCCCCTCCCCACTCCCTGCCAGGTGCCCTCCATCCCACCTACCAGGAGCGTCCGGCCCTCCGGCCTGGAGCACCCCCCTCCCCCCCGCCCCCGTGAGGAAGTTAGGGCCACAATGCGGGAGTGGTCAGCCGGGGGGCCGAGGCCGAGGCCCCCGCCCCTGCTCTCACAGCGCACCCTCGACTGGCCCCTCTCTTCCCCACCCGCCCTTGCGGACCAGCGCGGACTAGCGCCACCTGTAAGGCTTGGTTCAGACCCCACCTCCTCCGGGAAGCAGCCCCCTGACCCTTCCTTGTTGCCTCCTCTCTCCTCCCACCTGCCTCGCTAAGGTATTTGGTTCCAAGCCCAGGGCACTAGGGAGCCGCTGCAAGCTCGATGCACGCACGCCCACGCACGCACGCCCACGCACGGAGTCGCAGAGCAGGGCCTGAGCGCGGGCCTCTCCCTGGGCCTCAGCAGGGAGCGTGCTGGAAGGGTTCTCAGACATCTGGAATTCACAGACCGGTCAAATTTCAAAGGAAATATTGCAGACCTCCTGAAGATTGCCAATTTTCTAGTTTTCCATGTTGGGGCCTTTAGAAAAATAATTAATTATAATTTCCTTTTTTGCAAGACTATTTATAAACCTACTTTTTCAGTAGGAAGACAATCTCAAGATAAAGGTCATTTCTTCCTGCTGAACAAACTTGGTTTTATGAACAACTTGCCACGTCCTCGTATTTGTCATTTCACCCAAACAGTTGCAAATGAGGTCACGGCCAGGCCTTCACGAGGATGGGTCCTCTTCACGGCATCCCTTGCTCTCTGCACCACTGTTTTCCTGACCCCACTGGACCGTGTAGGTCTCCAGCAGGGTCCACTGGTGCCCTTTAACCTGGAGGCTCTCAGAGGCTGACCCAGGACACCTGGTGGCCAGTACAATGAGGACTGAACCATACGGAGGGTACACGGGGTGGTCTGCAGATGTGACACAGGTCTCTCAGGCCATTAAGATGGAAGAATGTTTATGAGGACAGAGAAATGGGGACAAAGCACAGATGTCTATCTGTTCCTGTGTGTCAAAGAACATGCAGATGTGAGTGTGGACAGGGAGGGCAGGGCAGGGCCATCAAGAGTGAAGGTCTGCACTGAACCTTTCGGAGTGTTCTAGAAGGAGACGTCCTCACTTCCAAGGGCAGTGACATTTTGCTAATTGGAGGGTAGGCACCATCAGTAATTAGTATTGAAATCCTGCACCCAGCCTCAGAGCTGGAAGGCCCAGGGTGATCACTGAGGACAGCCTGGCATTGAAGAGGGCTGAGGCCCAGAGAGGGAGAACTCTTGCCCAGGGTCACACAGCAGGGTTACACTGGAAATACAATTGCTCTCTTAGGTAACATGAAGGTGAATATTGTTTCTAGTTTTCCTTTGCTTTTTAATCCCTCTCTATCAAAAACAAATTTCAAACTTTTCTGTTTCCAGATGATTGCATGTTTGAAACTGGATGGTCTGAATTAATTTCTGACCAGTGTTCCTCTTCATATCAGTGCTTGGCTGCTTGCTTTAACCAGGCTATGCTGCCTTGGACTTGCTCTACCAATCAAGATGTGACTTGACATTGTCAACAGACCCTGGGCTGGGCTCTGAAGACACTGAAGACTCAAGTCCTTGCTCTCTGGAAACTCACAACCCGGTGGCGCTCCAAGGCAAGGCTTGTTACCAAGGCCAGAAGGACTGGGCATTGCAGGAGTAGCTTGTAATAGCCACAGGATCCATCCTGGAAAGCTTCCTGGAGGCGGCGGTAGCTGAGCCGAGCCTTGCTCAGGTACATGTTCAGTAACATTAGCTGCTGCTGTTATGTACAGCAGGAGTAAGGGAGGAGAAGCTGGGAAGGCAACCTGGGTGGGAAGCGCATCCCGTTCATAAGGAACAGCATGTGAGTAAAGACAAGCCGATCTCTGTGGCTGGAGAAGTTGGGAGGCAGTGATGGAGAAAGGGTGGGAGGTGAGGCTGGACAGAAAAGAAGGGGACCACCCTGGGGTGGTGCAGCATCAAAAGGTTTTAAGAAGGGTGAGGACAGGCAGCAGTTAGGGAGGTGACTGTCCTGATGAGGGAAGGTTGTGGCCCAGGAGAGGCGAGGATGGGCTGATTACAGGGGGCCCCAGAGGAAGGGTGGCCAGGACTTGGCGTCTCTAGTGTCCCTGGTGGCCTTGCTCATAACCATGGTGGACAGATGTGAGGAGGGTTCCCCAAGCCAGCCCCAGGTTTCGGGCTGAGCCCCTGTGTGACTGAGCCAAGAGCAGTGGCCACCAGAGGATCATGCAGGACACCCTGTGCTGTCGTGAAGGGGGACCTGATGGCGGGAGGATGTGTGCGGTGGGGATCCTGGCGGTGACTGTTTGATACAGGAGTCCTGCTTCATAGCAGAAATGTGTCCGAGACTGTTGACCCTACAATGGTGGATACCGCCCTCCAAGCCACAGTGAAGAGCCAGGTGGGCCTGGAAGGAAGTTGGAGGGCCTTCCACACCCTGCACCTGGGAAATGTCCCATGCAGTCCTAACCACGCCAGCAAACACGCAGTGAAAAACACTCAGTGGCCTCCAGGGCAAGTAGAGGTCAGCCTTCCCCAGGGTCAGGGACCATGGGGCCAGGGCCATTGCCCCAGCAGAACTCAGAGCCAGGTTCTTCTGCCCAACTTTCCTTGGGATTGTTGAGCAAAGGTGAAAACAGGGGTCCACAGTGGGCCCACCTGCAACAGTGGTGTTCCTGCTATGACAGGCCTCCTGCCAGGTAGAACTAAGACATCTTTATGTAAAAACCACACCCACACACACACATGAGCTGCTGGTGCTAGAATAACCCATTCTCCCTTCCAGAAGAGCCAGTTGGTAATATATTCAAGAGCCTTTGAAAAGCAAATCCTCTGTGAAGTTACAATAACTCTCCTCGGGGTTCTTTACGGGAATTACTAGAGCTGGGCAAGGAGGATGCTCATGGCAGCACACTTGGAAATCACCTAGATAGCCAACAACAAAGGATTAGGTAAAGAAGTTATCTATGGGACATTTGAAGGGTGGATTCTTCTGCAATTATTAAAAAGTGGGCTATAGGAACATATTTAAAGATGAAGTGCATTTTTCATTGCATATCAGTGAAAATGCAGATTACAAAACACGGTGTATGACCACAATGATTTAAGTATGTATTATGAATGGAAGAGAAAGGCTGGACAAATATACACACCCAAATGTCAACTGTGGTTGCTCTGAGTTAGGATTCTATGTATTTATTTTCTCATGGGTGCCTTTCTGTGTTTACAACACTGTTGACAATGAGCGTGTATTATGTTTGCAATCAAGACAAAGAGAGTCAGTGTGTGTGTGTGTGTGTGTGTGTGTGTGTGTGTGTGTGTGTGTGTTTCAATGGCCCAGAAAGAAAAGACCAAGTTCAGATAAAGATCTATAGTGACACATTGCTTCCCCCAAAGCAGGTTTCTCCCTCCCAGCTTGGAAAATATTATGGAAAATGCTGGATGTGTACGGCCTGGCTTGGCCCTTGTTTCCTCAGAGCAGAGCTCCCCAGAAGGGCTGTCCCCAACCACCTGGGCAGGGTCACCCCCAACGAGTTTGCTACATGTGCAGGCCTTGTCCCTCCCAGGCATCCTTAGAATGGGAATCTAGGAAAGGTCTTTTTTTCCCTTGCAGAAATGTCGTGTGTGTGTGTGTGTGTGTGTGTGTGTGTGTGTGTGTGTGTGTGTGGTAAAATGTACATAATGTGAAATTTACCATTTACCATTTCAGCCGCATTAAATACATTCACATATGTTGTACATTCCTCACCACTATCCATCTCCCCGAACTGAAGCTCTTTACCCATTAAATAATAACCCCCCATTCTTCCCTCCCCCCAGACCCTGGTAACTACCATTCTACTGTCTATCTCTGAATTTGAGTTTGACCAATCTAGGTACTTCATATAAGTGGAATCATATATTTGTCATTCTGTATCTAGCTTATTTCTCTTAGCATAATGTTTCCAGGATTCATCCAAGTTATAGCATGTGTCAGAATTTCATTCCTTTTTAAAGCTGAATAATATTCCATTGTATGTATAGACCACACATACCATATCTATTCATCTGCTGATGGACATTTGAGTTGTTTCCACCTTTTGTCTATTGTGAATAATTCTACTATGAAAATGGATGTGTAATCTCTGTTCAAGTCCTAGCTTTTACTACCTATGGGTATATAGCTAGGAGTGGAATTGTTGAGTCATATGGTAATTCTATGTTTAATTTTTCAAGGAACTGCTGCCATACTGTTTTCCACATAGCTGCACCATTTTACATTCCTACTAGCAATGCATAAGGGTCCCAACTTCTTCACATCCTCACTAATGCATACTATTTTTTTTATTAGCCTTTTTATTTAATAGGGTGAGGTGGTATTTCATTGTGGTTTTGATTTGCATTTCCCTAGTGATTAGTGATGTTGAGCATCTTTTCATGTGTTTATTGGCTATTTATATATCATCTTTGGAGAAATGTCTGTTCAAGTCCTTTGTCCACTTTTTAATTGGGTTTGTTGTTAGTTGTAAGAGTTCTTTATATATTTTGCATATGAGAGATCACTTTTTTGTATATACAGTATTCGAGTCATATCACTTGTTAAAACATTCATTTATTACTTTTTAAACTTGGAGAACATAAAAAAGAGGGGTGCATGAAACATTAGTGAATATGTATATTCTTTGACTCAGTAATTCCACAGCTAGGAATCTATGATAAAAAATTTTCATGAACATGCAGCTTTAACTGCAAGCATGTTCATCATAAAAGAAGGAAGAGATGGAAACTATGAATATCAATGTTCAATATAGCAAATAGGTTAAATAAAATATGGACCACCCAACACAGGGCTGTGTGATTACAAAGAACACTGTAAATGAGCATTCAGTGGGGACATTTCTAATATAACCATGCACGAAAGGAGAAATTGCAAAACAATATGTACAGTACAATCCCATTTTTGTTTAAAAGATATGTACAATTGTGTAAAAATGAAGGAAAAATGCATGCCTCTGCAGTCAGAAAAAAAATCAGTTATTTTTAAGGCATCCTCAAATGTATGTACGGTGTTAATTAAAAATCTATATATTTACAAAAAAAAAAATGACTCAATACCAGAGTCCACACTGAGCTCGTCCCTGATCTGTGCTGTGAGATTTGATAGATTTCTCCTTTTAATTTGTCCATTCCTAGGTTTTCCAAAGTCTTTACTGTCAGGTTTTTACCTGTCAGGGGAAGAGGGAAAAAGACAGAAAATTATCAAACTTTAAAAAATGAAAGTCTAAAGTAATGAAATCTGAATTAGATGAAATCTAGCTCAAATATCTCGGCACCCAAGAAAAGGTCAAACAAGCTCCAGGTGGGAAGGGCGGGACGCAGAAACTGAAATCACAACTGCGCCGCGGCCGCACAGAGGCCCCGCCCAGGCTCCGCCCCTAGCACCGCCTTGCCTTGCCTTCCCCGGAGCTTCCGAGCCAGCCGCGCAAGGCTCCGCCCAGGCCCCGCCCTCTGGACTGCGACGCTACTTCCGAACCTCCCGCCGCCCCCGCAGATGGGAGACAACAGCCAGAGGCACCGCCCCCAGCGCGTAGAGGCCACGCCCCGAACCCCCGCCTCGCCCCCTCGGCTGCGCCGCTGGCCGGCTGCGCCCTCGCCCGGGCTTCCGGAGCCGGTCGCTCAGAGACCCCGCCCCCGATCACGTAAGAACCCCTCCCGGCCCCGCCCCCTCGCCGCCACGCTGCGTCCGCGCCGCCCGTCGCGCGGCTATTGGCTTCCGGAACGGGACGGAAGGGCGTGCGACCTGGAAGGTCAAGGCCGCTGAGCGCCGTGGCGGAAGGGCGCGGCTCCCGGAGGAGGTCCTGCGCGCACTTCCTTCAGCCCTCCTCATTCCTGTCCCCGCCCGCCCGCCCCCAGGTGCGCTGGACCCCGAGGCCGCAGCTGAGGCTTCACAGCCGGGGTCCAGAGATCAAAGGGGGCGGGCCGGGCGGGGCCACCCCCACCCCACCCCCTCCCCCGGGACGCGAGCTGCTGGCCTGCCCTGCCTGGAGGGAAAGCGGGCGGATCAAAGCCCGCGGTGCCCGGCCCGACCCTTCCCAGTGGCAACGCAGGACGCAGCGCCCTTGGGCCGGACGCGAGGCTCCCTTTAAGCCTCAGTGCCTTGTGTCACCCACTCTGCAGTGAGGAAGCTAGGCCCAGAGCGCCCCTCTATCTGCTGACTGTGAACTGGGGCGTATGTGAGCTGTGAGGACTGATGCTGGAGCTAGAGCCCCACTTCAGAGAAGGCTGAAGGCCCAGAAATCATAATAGCAGCTGCCATTTATTGAAAGCCACTGCCACGCAGGCCTGGGACGGGTGCCTTTGTGTCATCTCATTGCTCCTTATAGCAATTCCATTAAGGGCTGGTAACATCGGTCACCCCCTTTCACAGATGAGGGGGCTGAGCTCATAGAGGCAGCTTGTCCAAGGCCGCTCAGGAGAGGGCACAGCCTGCGTTTGGACCCAGGTCCCCAGTGCAGCGTCCCAGCTTTTACTCCGTGCTAACCTGGCTCGGTGATAACAGTTCCCTTGCAGCGGGCACAGCTGGCTGCCGCCTCTGTTACATCTTAGCTCCCTGCTGCCGCATCCTCAGCAGGGGGACGCTACTACCCAGAGCCAAGCCCCTCTCCTCCCTGAAGGTGCCCGGTGCCCGGGAGCTCTGCCCCCAGGAGCCTGGAGATCTGTGCCAAGTTAGCGCCTACCTGTTCGTTATCCAGCGTCCCTGTGCTCAAGTGATGGGAAAAGACACCCTCTGTGCAGCATCTGACACGCGTGAAAAGGTGGGTAATTCTAGGATGGCTGGTTTGTCGGACCACGCCGGCCGTGCCAGTGATACAGGCCACGAAGTGTGCCTGAGAGCGCCCCAGGGTACCCCTCCCACACAAGCGGACTCGGTGCTGAAGAAACCAAACCCCCGCTACACGGAGGCTGCCTGCCTCACTCGTCTCCACCCACAGCCTCCCGAGGGGGCACCGAGGGGGCATCTTAGCTTTTCGCGTGGCTTTCCAGGTTGCTGTATAGCAAGGCCACGTGATGCTGGATGTCTGCCGCAGACAGGACTCGGGGCCCTGGCCCAGCCAGCTCGAGGCCCAGCGCGGTATGCCCACAACAATCCAGAGTTTCCAGCCTCCGAATGTACCTCAGAAAGGAAGCTGCACATTTGATGTTTTTTTCTTGGCTCTATATTAAAGAACAAAGCATGGGAACTGGACAGGCCCCTCTGTAAACAGAAAACACATGTTTTCTGGGAGAATGGGCTCTTCCTTTTTCTGGTTCCTTCTGCCGTGGACAAAGGCCTCTTTAGGCCGCCCGGCTCTAAGCCACAGGCCTGAGAGGAGGTGATTCTTTGCCCCAACTCAGGGAACACTGCCACCTGAAATGGAGGAAGGAACGGACTGCTAGTGGGCCCCCTCAGCAGTGGGCTGGGCCTGTGGTATGGTCTCAGGAAGGAGGCCACTCAGAGACCTGGCAGGATTTGGGCACCAGGGAGGGTGAGTCTGGACCACTTGTATCCTCCAAGCACTTGAGAATCATCTTGGGTTCTACCTGAGATAGCTCCAGGTGGAGGTGTGTTCCTTGGGGCCTGCTAACCACACACAGCAGAGACCTCTAACTCAGAAGAGAGGCTGGGGCCTGATGTCTGCAAGGAGCAGGCATGCTGAGACTGAGTACCCACTGCTGTGTGACCTGAGGCAAGTTTCTTAACCTCTCTGAGCCTTAGGTTTCTCATCAATAAAATGGGGATAACAATATTTGGTTGTTGATTTAAATAAGGTAATGACTATAGCCCTCTCAGACACACAGGAGCCGATAAATAAGTGAACGAAATCAAACTGTCTCAATGCTAAGCTGTTTCCAGAGCCCCAGAGTGGCCTGAGAGACCTCTGCAAATACCTAGGCCTCCCATACTCCAAGGAGCACCTCCCCTTCCCCCGTCCTCTTCAGGGCACTGGACGAGCGCCAGGGCTCAGCCACCCCCAGACCAGCTGCAACACGTCTTTGGGAGCAGCCGTCTCAGGAACGGATCATTCTTTTGTATCACTCCAGCAGCCTGATCTTTGTCCTCGGGGAGAGATTTGATTTGGGGAAATAACAAGACGTCCTTTGGGCCAAGTCTGCTGAGTAGATGTGTGGAAGCCAAGCCAGGGCCCCCTGTGGCTCCTGGCTGGGCTCCGAAGGGGGTTTGGAAGGACAATGTGGACCGGATCGTCTGGACTGGCCACCACTGGTGTTGGTGGGTGTTAGAGTGCCAGCGTGTGTGTATGAAAACACAGAGATAGTCGCACACATCCAAACTCGGTGGATGAGCCAAACCAAAGCCAGACTAATTAACACGAGGCTGCCTTTCACCTCTGGGCCCAGAATTTGATTTTCATGGAAATCTTTGTGGGAAAATTGCGAGCATGTCTGATATAGGCAAATGAGTGAGAGTGAGGCAGGAAACTGCCCTGGAAATGTATGGGACTTACAGGTTGGCTTTCCTTCTAACTGTCCCTTACCGGCTGTGGGTGGCTGCTGGCTGGTCACTTCAGCCCCCGGCTTTCTCATCTGAACAATGAGAATCATGATGCCCATCCTTAATATGAGGAACAAATGCGGAAAAATGAATCTGAGCTTGCCCAAAAGCCCTGGTTTTGTGTGGCGAGGGCCTTACACACACAGACACCCTACCTGACACTTCTGCTTCTGGGAATTCATCAGGAAAGCAGCACAGCCATACAGAAAAGTGTCAGTATAAAGATGTTCCAAGCAGCATAATTTAAAATAGCAAAACTCCATAAGAGGTTACATATCTGACAATAGTGACAAGTTTTAACACCCATAGGATGGACTACTCCACAGCCCTCAGGCATGCTCCAGGCAGGAAATACACAGGCCATGTCCACTGGGTAGATACGCCTCAACCTGTGCCAGTGACGGTGCTGGTTAAAATTAAAAAAAAAAAAAAATTAACATAAACTATTCACAATAGCCAAAATATCAGAAACAAGCCAACTGTCCACCAATAGACGAATGGGTAAACTGTGATAGATATATGGTGGGATATTGTAAATCGGTACGAAGGAACAAGCCATTCATAGACTCAGTCACGTAGACAAATGTCAGTTCTACTGAGCAAGAGTTCATATTCTGTGATCCCATGTATAGCAAATGAAATAAAGGTAAAGCTATAGTGACAGGATTCCTATCAGTGGTCGCCTGGGGCCTGAGAGGTGGGGTCTGCCTGCTGCAGGACCAGGGGGCATTTTGTGGAGATGGGTGTTTTCTTTCTTGATTGTAGTGGTGGTTACACAGGCAAAACTCATCCAACAGTACCAGTGAAAGGGACCTTGCTGCATAGAAATTGTACCCCAATAAAGTAGATTTTAAAAATTAATGGGTATTTCAATTTTATGTTTCACATCCTGTAGAGAATAATATTTTATGATATAAAATGCTCACAACATATTGAACAAAAAAACCCCAAAATAACCTATAGTATGATCACATACACACACATAGTACATACTCGTATACATACATGATTTGGAAAACACACCAACCAGAAGGACTTTCAACAAATTGTACCAGGTAATTATCTCATGGGTAATTTTTTCTTTTCTGTGCCTTTCTGTATTTCCAAATTTTCTATAACACGCTTTTCTTCTTATAAACAAATTAAATAAAAACAAACATACCTCTTTTCCTTTCTTCCAGTTGTAGCAGGCCAGGGACTCGGGTCTAGGCTCTGGGACAGGACGGCAAGGTTGCCCCTGTCCAACGAAAGGGAACTGTTTGGAAGGCGGTAGCGGTCCATGAGGGTGTGAGGAGCGGGGCTCCCTTCCCAGGTCCTTTGGCCCAGTTTCTGTGCTGGGTTAGGCTCCAGGGCTGCCGTGCCAACCGGGCACTACTGATGCAGGAAGATCCCTACGCCCGGGCCCACTCGGGTGGCCTGGAAGCCAGACCCTCTGGTTGGGAGTGCCGATTCCTAGGGCTCCATGCACGTCTCCTGAATGTGCCAGTCTCCTGTGCTACCCTGGGTGAGGGGTGGGGTGGGGGTTCTGGTCTTGGTGCCTCTGTGTCCCTTTCACGGATGAAGGAGGCCCTCCTGGGTGAGACTTGCAGGGGCTGGCGGGCCTGGGCAGACCCTGTGCACTACTGAGCTATATTGCACATCTGCCCACTTCGGCCCTGTGAGGTTGGGGATACTGTTTGTCACGCTCTCCAAATTGGGGGAAATTGAAAGAAGTGATGTGCCCAGAGTCAATCGGTAGCAGGTGAAGCTCAGATTTGACCCCACCTGGATTCTCCCTGCCTTCAAGCTTCAGTTCCCAGGAGCTTCTGGGCCCCAAATAGCTCATTAATGCAGTGTGGACATGGGGGTCAGGGGCTGTGTTTTTTCTCTGCCTGCCGTCTGCTTGGCGTTCTTGTGCGATTTAAAATCTGCACATTCAGTGGCCTGTCAGCTGGGCTTAGTGCTTAAACTAAGTGAGCGTCTCAGAACAGGGCTCTGCCTGCACTTGGAGCTGCTGGCACCCCAGCATCGCACACCCCCGCCCCCAGCTCCATCGGGCCCCTTCCTTCCAGCCAGCTGGCCTCACAAAGGTGCCGAGGAGGAGCCCTGATGGATATGGTTTCTTTCATTCTGACTGAGCAGATTCTTCAACAGACTGTGGAAATTAAAAATAAGAGCCCGAAGCTATTAAAATATATATTTTTAACCAAGTCACAAATGGGAATGATGAGGCAGCAGCAGGTTAAGGACGCTTTGTGATGTGGAGTTTTTATCGCCCGGCACTTTTGTGACTGTAAATGTCATAAACCTGTGGTCCTGGTGGCGGTGGAGACTGTGGCTTCATACTTGCGTGTGAAGCTGCACTCCAGGTGTGGTCTGCTTGGAATTAGTTCACAGCCTGGGGTCATTAATCCTGCTCAGATTGTCCTGCAGGGCCTCACCAGGGTTTCCATTTAAAAATAAATCGATGAGGTAAAAGTAAAGAAATTTTTAAAATGTAATGTATTTGTATGTCTATTTATATAACTGTAAAGAAACAAACTGTAATGTGAATGATCAAAGGCTTTGGAGTAAAGGGACTAAGAGAGAAATTAATTCCCTTCCTTCCTTCCTTCCTTCCTTCCTTCCTTCCTTCCTTCCTTCCTTCCTTCCTTCCTTCCTTCGTCTGTATTCTCCAAATTTTCTATAACAGTGTGTATCACTTCTATAATGAGAAGAGGTAAAATGCACTTATGTTAAAAGTAGTTGATCTGCACCTGAGACTTCACATCAAATGATAACCGTGGCAGTCAGGGTACTTTTATTGAGTAGCTGGTATGTGCCACACCTCCTGCTACACTCTCCTACCATGTAGCTCCCCGGAGGACCCCACAGGTGGGAGCTGTCCCCCAAGCACACCCAGGAGCTGAGGCCCTGAGATGATACATAGTGCCCACGCCGCCAAGCTGGGGACTGAACATGGGCAATTCTGACTCTCAGACTGTAACATTTCCGTAACAACTTCCTGCCTTTTCAAGGTGAACATTTTTCCTAACTACTGTGATCTTTGATTAAAATATTTTTATCTTGTTTACATGGAATCTGGAATTATTTCTGTAAACAGAATTTAGTAAAAAAATAAAAATGAAAATCTTTTTAATTTTAATATCTCGTTAACCAATGACCAACATAGGGATTAGCTACATAATTTGGGGGCCCAGGACCCCTTGTTCAAAAGGATTAGGAATTTTAAGATCAGGATAACAGAGCATTGAGCATGCGAGGGTGGCTGCACAGGCCCATGAAGCCAGCCCAGACAGGGTCTTGATGATTTTTGATAGAGCCAGGGCAACGTCACCCTTTGGGACAAACTGAATGCCAGTGACCAGAAGTTAGAAAGCAAATGGGTTCGAACTTCAGGAAGAAGAGTAGTTCCCAATGCATTTTCCAGTCCCGTAAAATAAAGCGGCTGCAGCTCAGGAATGGAGCCCCTGGGTGAGAACGCCTTGGGAGGGAGCAGGCAGGCTTCCCTTCCTGGGAAAGGGCCAGGCCTCTGTGCAAGGAGCTTTTGTGTAGAATGAGGCATACCTACCAAATGTTTTCCTGAAATGTCACCCCTGGCACCCCTTCACAGAACTTCAGTTGCTTTGCTGGAGCAGCACAGCTGACCAGCCCAGATCTTGGGAGAAATGAGAAAAGACGACGCCCATGCTTGTTCCTGTAAAAACAAAATAAGAAACATCGTTCCACCCCCTCTGGGAAAGGATCTTGGGTGTCTCGGGCAGGTGGATTTTCCCCCTGATGAGGCTCACTGTGGACACCAGGGGCTGTCAGCCTACGTATGTAAGCTGACCAGTAAGTATCTGTGCCTCTGCAAAATGGCTCTGTTCCACACGCTGCCCCCACCAGCCCTAGGCATTACCTACCCCCCTCTACCACCTCTATGTCCTCTGCCCCATGGCAAATTTTGGAAATTTCCAGGTGGATGGGTGGCACCATCAGGCACCCTCATGGCTGCAGCCTCTTCCGTGAACCAGTGTGGAAGTCCAGGGCTGACTCCAGAGGGATCCTGTTTGAGAGGTTATTTGAAGGAAAACTTTGTATCCACCTCAGGGAGAGGTTCTCTAGCGGTTTGAGGCACGACCCACTTTTTTGGGACAAGAAGTAACATATTCCCCCCTACCCCCCATCCCTACCCTGGCCTCCACAGCCCCCCTGATCATTAAAAAAACAAACAAACAAAAAACAATGCCACTCTCCCAGCCTGAAACAGTCTCCGGACTCAGGTATGGGATCCAGTGTTTTCTCCATAAACATTTCTTGCAAAAAAGGATGGACAGACAAACGGATGCACAGGGCAGTGCAGGCACCTCCCAAGGCCGGTGGGCAGCTGGATGCCCTGTGCCTCTCAGCTCCGGTTCCAGCGCTCAAAGGGCCCTCACAGTCTCTGGACTGGGCTTGGCAATGGTGCATGCAGATCCATTGGGCTGCCTTCCCCAGACGTGTCCCCAGGACCCTGCCCTAGGAGGGTTCCAGGCCAGGCAGAGCCAAAGGGGCAGAAAACGGCAGGCAGCAGCCAGGAAGCTCCGGGAGGGAGACGCTGGGGTTTCCCAGTCAGGGTTAGCCTGGTGAATCCTCCTGTCTCACACGTGGAACATGCATTTGCCAGAGGGGCGGGAACAGGGTCCCACAATCGCCGCAGGTGCAGGCTGGGAGCAGGTGGGCCAGGCCCAGGACCCTGTGGAGCCCAGGTCCTCCCCTGGACACCAGGGGTCCTAGCTGGCCCTTGCTCTGAGATGGGAACAGAGGGTAGTCGCTGCCAGGGGCTAAGGGGATGAGACTGACTAGAGAGAGCCCCTGGGCCGGCCGCTGCAGCGCTGGGGACATGGCCTGAGTGTCAACCACCTTTCAGGGAGCAGCTTGTGTCCACTCACGCCCCCCCAAATTGCCCAAAGAACTTCGGCGTGGGTTCTGAAACAGGCAGGTACCGGAGGAAGGTGCCTCGCGATGGGACGATGCACCTGGAAACAGCACGTCCCGAGTGGGGTGGTTGTTTACCCCTTAAGACAAAACAAGCCCGAGGCTTCTGGTGGGAGTTCAGGTTCCCGGGGTGTCTGCGGGGCGGCCCGTCTCCACCGGGTGTCTTCCTTTGCTCCCCTCTCCCGGCCCGCTCTCCCCCTTTGTTGCCAAGCTCAGGCGTCGCTGCTGAGACCCAGCCCCGCGCCCGCGAAGCCCGGAAACTTCCAGCTCCGTGGCTGCGAGGAAAGTTGGGGTCGCGAGGCCGGGGTGCCGGCGGCGCCGCCGGCCGGGCGCGGCTGTGCCCCGGGGCCGCGGCCTCTCGCGGCGAAGACGCCCTCCCGGGCCTCCTCCGAACAAAGGCTCGGCAAGTTCGAAAGGGAGCCTGTCCCCCGTTTTCCCTCCCTCGGGCCGCCGGGT